TGCAACATCAGCCTCAGCATATATATATATATATATATATATATATATATATATATATATATATATATATATATATATATACATATACAATGCGTTGTGAAATCTCATCTCCAACACCACCACCAGCCGTGATGCGACTCCCTAGGTAGATGTAGCAACGCACTTGTTCCAGAATGTCCCCAGCAATGGTGAACGCGGACGCAGGTCCCTGCCAATCCTGAAATAGCACTTTACATTTGGCTGGGGTGAAATACAAGCCGTAAGTGGACGATTCAATCGCTAAGCGGTTTAAGGTGTTTTGACGGTTTGAAAATCGTCATTCAGCAAAACGATGTCACCGGTGTAGTCCAAGTCCGCGATTTTGACGCCACGGAGAAGCTCAACACCGCGATTCGGGACACGTTCCAGCGCTCGTTCCATGACATCTTCGATGGCAAAATTGAAGAGGAAAGGCGAAATAGAGCAACCTTGGCGAACGCCGCTGGTGAAAGCAACGAAGAGGAAAGTGTGCCGTAAGCCCTAATTTTGCTCGACGAGTGACTGTACAGTTCCCTCAGAATGGCGACAAACTTGTCGGGCACAACCTTCCTTAGTGGACAACTCCACAAAGCAGCTCTGTCTACGGAATCGAATGCCGCACGGGTGTCCAGAAACACTACGGTTGTTGATCGACGGTGGACGTGGGGGAGCTCGAGAATTTGTCGAAGCGTGAAGATTTGATGAATGAAACTTCGGTCTGGGCGAAAACCGGCTTGTTCATTTCGGGAAAAACTCTATCTGGCGGAGAAAAGTCTGTGAAGTAAGATGGACACAAAAATCTTGGAAGCAACTGAGATCAGTGAGATTGCGCGGTAGTTAGCGCAATCTTCGCGGGGGCCTTCCTTGTGAAGCGGGACAACGAGTGAGTCTCCCCATGAGTTGGGGACTTTCAAATCAGTCCAAACCTTTGTGAAAAACGAGAGTAATTCGTTGACAAGTACATCCCCGCCATCTTTGAAAAGAGCCGGAGGAAGGCTGTCAGGGCCGGCAGCTTTATGCCGTCTCAAAGATCGGATTGCGCTTCGGATCTCCACTTCGATGGGAGGGTCAGTTGGGACGGGCCGAGCAACATCCGATAGAGATGAAGGTGTAACAGAGGGATGTGCTGGGTAGTTAAATCGAAGAACAAAGTGCTCTGCCCAGCGCTCCAATCGCTTCTGCAGGTTGGGGATTTTTGTGCCGTCTGACCCACAGATTATATTACCAATAGCGGGTGAATTGCAACCGGTGACTTTGAGGAGAGTAAACAAACTGTGGCAGTTTACAACCGATGTAGCGAGCTCCATCTCAGCAGCAAGCCTAGACCACCAGAATGCGCGGTCAGAGGGAAGGCTTGCTTTCAGTTTTAGAGAAATAGGATGACGGATTTCCTTGTGTTCCGTGCCCGCTGGCAGGGCCCGTCGACGGAGTAGAAGTTCCGAAGAAGTTGCCGAGATCCAGCTTTTAGTTGTGCAGCGGACGACGACGTAGCTGGACAAAATGACGTCTTGCAAGCCTAACCAGTGCTGGTCAGCCTCCAGAGAAGAAGAGAGCGCAAGGTCTTCAGGAAGCTTCTGTTGATACTCTGTACTGAGAGAGCCTCCAATTTGCCAATGTGCACTCGGGTTTGTTTGACTCTTGGAAACCACCGAAGCGCATGCAAACTATCGCGCACACCAATGCATGATCGGTTTCCACACAGGTAGACCAGTATGACCGGCAATCGCATTTGCTTCCACGCCACCGACTTCTGACTATGTGATCAATTTGCGACCAACGCTACGTTGATGATGAAGGACGCCAAGTGGCATAATCTCGTCTGGGGTGACGAAAGCTCGTACTGGAGAGGAAAAGTTGGTGATCACCATGCAATCTTTCTCCATCGTCAGAGCGAACCTCAGCATATCTATGTGATCCTCCCAGGATGCGTTCAGATGGAAACAGCCGACCAACGCGTTGGATGAAATCTCCTGCCATAACGAGGATGTCCATCCTAGGTGCACTAAGGAGTAGCTCATGAAGGCTTTGATAGAACTGGTCCCTGACTGCATCCGAGCTGCAGTCAGTGGGAGCATAGGCGGAGATCACAAAAAGAGCACGGATATCGGCTCGATTGCTAACCTTGTAGGAGCCACGGAGTCTAATAGCACAGACTGTTGATTGGAATACAATCAAGAAGAGCGGCCTCGGCTATAGCACTGAGCGCAATCCCAACACCAGCTTGCCCAGAAGCGGCAGACTCAGCGTCACCAGAAAGGCGGAGATGAAAACGGGTGTGAGGTGGATTGGTGACGATAGCTGGTAGACTGTGTTGGGATCCTGAAGTCGTGTCTCAGTCAGGCAGCAGACATCAATTGCAAGGGTTTCCAAGGTGCGCGCCAGTCCCGCTTGTTGTTCGATCTGCAGTAGAGTGCGCACATTTAGTGTTGCTAGCTTGAACCGAGTTCCAGGTTGCAGTAGCAAGGATGAAAGACCATGTGACTGGTAGCTTCCTGTAAAGCACTGTGTGGCTGAGTTGGCGGATGTTGATGGGACGAATTCACCGGTGAAGACAGAGTTGTTCACCGTGGAGGAATCAGGTAATGAAGTGGGTGAACAATGCAAAGGAAAGATAGGTAACTGGTGCAGCAGCAGGAACGTAGAACATCGTGATAGCGAGAGCGTGAGTGTGTAGGCGAGATACTACCCAGTGGTCTAGGCCGAAATAGGGAGTTGTCTTAGGGGACTCCACCTCGAACTTTTGGCAGTGGAACGAATTCAGAGAATCGCGCCCATTGGGAGCCGGTGACCGAATTCTCGGTTCATACACTTTGTTTGGTCAGGTACCAAACAGGCGCCCAATCGTCCCCACAAATTCAGCAGCAAGCTGCTGAAATACAATGCTCCACCGAAAGGAAGCAAGGGGCGGTGACCTTATGTAGTGGCGGGTCACATCCGCCACGTCGCAGTGTTGTTTAACGGACATATGCGACTTTTTATAGGGAGAACGATTACCAGGCGAAAACCCACCACATTCTGGAACACTGCCGCCGAACCATTCACTGGAACGAGAAAAACCCGAACTACCCAGCTGGCACCACGAGGAGGCTGTTCGGCAGATCAGCTGGGTTATCGAAAAAAGTTCAATGAAAAAATTGTTAGTAGTTATGCTGCCAAAAGAATGGACTTATCGTACGTAATGTAGTAGTCCTACACTCTGAGTATTTCCATAGCTTCAATAGGCGAAAAAAATAAATTCAAGGTAATTCCAGTGAGTGGGACGGAGAGTAGAGTCAAGTAACAAAATGTAAGTGGCGGAGTGCGTCATCCAACTGACTTTTAACTATGGCTAGTGTGGGTGCAGAAACAACCGATTCAGGGAGAACGTTCCATGCTTAACACACGGGAATAGAAATTTCTACGGTACCCCAGACGGCTGTATTGTTCTGTCAATTTTAAGAGGTGACCTCTCAGGTTGGTGTTAATGCTGAGTTGCAGTAAAGAGCGGCACATATGATTCAGATTGTGTAAAATCAAGCATGCATTATCAAGCGGCCTGGTAATCGGTGATACCGCCCGCTGAATACTCCCATACGATTCACCCTCTGCTCGTATGAAAGGTGGCGCATTCCAGTGACGATTTGGAAGCTCGTCGCTGAGGTCGTGTTTCAGCCACGACCGCTAGGTCTGAATTGCGTATTTGACATCGGGACGAGCATACGCAGTAAGCATCTGTCTTGTCCGAACACCCATCGTAACAGGCCGACGTGTTGGTTACTAGTTATATGCATGCAATGTATCGCATAGCCCCGAACTGGCTCAGTGATGAAGGCGTTTGCTGAGAAACACTGAGTCCGGGGCTCGCGCTCCTTCTCCGAAACGTCTAGCCAGAGACAAAATTGTTCGTAGCGTGCCGTATTCGTATCGGACTACACTTATCGCACATCTGATCCTAAGTTGTCATTGTCATCGAAATTGTTGGCTCACAGATGTAATTCCTTTGTCTGTTAGATGTGTACGCATGCATGACTGAAGATTCGCAGGTCAAGAATCATCCATAGAACCAGTAGTTCCCTTCTGGCCGCTGCTTCATTTTTCGCTGTGGCCACCACTGCTCACCGCTCGGCACTTGCGAAGGAATAATGGGTGGTCTAGTCTCAAGTGATCAACCATGTTCCGTACACCTGGGTACGCGGTGGCTCCAAAGGTATCGTATCGACTCACACAGGCAGAAAGATAGGAAAAGTAAAAAAAGTAAAAAGTCAATTTAAGACAGAAGAGATGGAGTCGGAAGGTGAAAAGTCAATAAGTGTTACCGACGCAAGTTGATCACATTCGCAAGGACCAGATGCACAGCCCAAAATTGGGTTGGGGTATTGTGAACAAAGTGAACCCCCTTCCAATCAAGATAAGAGTGGCTCAAACAGCTACGAACGAATGATAAGCACGAGCCAAGGAACTCAGGCAGTTGGATGGTCAAAATCGGCTAGTTAAAGTATGTTTCAGTAAAATAGTGACTCAAACTTCCGTACAGCATAAAATAACCCGTGTTCCTTAATAACCGATTTTTAGATGGATTTCCAGTCTTGATTCGAGGAGAGCTACCTCAACATACATGACATTTTGATTTAGAGGCTCAAAATATCGCTTGTTGATAGCTGCACGCAATATAGTAGTGAAAGCTCGCTAAGATCTAGATTAGTGCAGCAAGGAGCTTCGGGTGCAGGTCGACTGGTCCGCTATTTTGATGCACAAACCTCGACACATGGAGGACCAGTATATAATTTTCGCCATAGCAGATCAATCAGTTCTCCACATGCCCTGAAAAGCACTAGGTGGTCGTTTCGATCCGATGAATCTCGTCAGTAGTGCGCATCCATCGACGAACTCTCAAGTAATTACATCAAAAAACCCCTAATGCAAAATAGAAAAAAAGAGCAAAGATGATAGGAAAGCAAACTCGTTTTTGCCAAGAGGCACATACAAAGGGAGTGTTGAATTACCTTCATAGTGACGGCATATTGGTAGGTGTCCGATTGAGAGAAGGTGTAGATTATGCGAGTAGGTACGATACTGACGTGATACTGGAAGGTTTGCATCGCTTGAAAAAGAGGTGCGAGAAATCGAGAATCAGTGTTTTTTTTCCGAAGCCAACAGGTGCAGGCGTTATTGAATGTGAGGGAAAGTAATTACCTAACACTCAGGTGAAACGGGGGGAGGGGTGCGCATGAATGGCAGAGTACAGGTGTGAAGAGATCGTATGCATCAGAAGAAACTTAGACTTAAGAAACATGAGCGAACTGAGAACTGGTGCGAAGCAGCGAGTAGAGGTTGCTCTGTGTAGCTGCATCGTTCGTCGTTTTCGGACATGAACCCTTTATTTATCGTTTCGCTCTGTACTTTGCCTCTGCAAATTGTCGGTCTAGTAGCATCTTGAATTGAGACCCTGTGTTGGCTGCTACTATATGTTGTGGCAGGTCGTTCCAGATATTCACCACTCTGCGTTCAAAACAGAGTTGATGGGCGACCCGCTTCAAATCCGGGACGATAAGTGTATACCGGTGTCCTCGCGTGCAGCTTGGTGTGCGCAGATGAAGTAGTTGTCTCAACATGGGGTAATCACCCAGATGTAATATCCGGTGCATCATGATGAGGTCAACTCTCAGCCGACGATAAGATAGGGTGTATAACCCTAGTTTCTTACATCGGTCTTCGTATGGCATGGAAGAGAAGTGTGAAGTAACATAGAACGCATGGTGAGAGACTAACACACTAGTTGGTAAGTAGGCGAGGACGAAACAATTCCGCGCTAATGTCGCTAAAGAAATTTACTGCGCGTGCGACACTGAGCAAGCCACGCCCAATAGATACCTCTGCAGAAAAGCAACAGGGAAGCTGGTAAAGTGTAGTAGATATCTTGAAAGTGACCATTACCTGATGGAATCGTTTTTTGTGATACAGTCGGACTAAAAAGATTCCAAAACTGCCGCTCCTCCCGGTTTGAGTAATTCAAGTTAGATGGATAGGTGACTTCATCGGTCGCTTTCATGAGAAACAGAAACAGTCTCAGACGGTAGCAGGTTTATTCATTACACGGACCAACAAGGACTGACATTCGAATTCGGAGTGAATGCGAATATCCGTGATGCGTTGAAATCGTTGATGAGTCAGAAAGAGCGGGTGCGATGCGGGAGAGCAATACATTATGAGGTCTAATTAGGAGCTCCAGATCGACTAACAAGCTTATAATGGCGTGTAATAGTGATTCGATAAATTCGAGTCAGTATGCCGGTATGCAGCACGGAGGCTTCGCTGCCGCGCAACCACCACCAGTCGCGCATGGGCTAAGGAGATTGCGAGAGTCGCCCAGTTCATACACAGGCTCGAACCCGCGCCCTCAGATTACAAGACAGGCTTGTGGTCCTTAAGGCTACGGGCCGCAATCAGTCGTCGACTAGTGATTGGGGGTTCACGCTACTAGCAATGAATACAATAGTATTCGTAACTATACGGATGAGGCACGCCAGCCACTGATAAAATGCACCTTTGACGATCTCCGAGCTGCTGTCGGCGGAAGCATCTAATGAAACTGTAAAAGATGTATTGTGTGTGAACAGTGCATGTTAATGCCATGGGGGTTAGAAATCGTACCGCACATCCAGTCAGTCACGAAGACATGGCAAAAAGAATGGCCTTGAGCATTTCTGCTGAATGCAGCGCCGATAGCCTAAAGATTTCGAAACAATGATTCGTGAAACATGCAGCCAAGCGAGATAGCTGGAGGTAAGCTACGACGTTGTTATGTTGTGGGAGAGATTGGAGTAAGGACTGGTACTGATTATGCAGCAAACATGGTAAGAGCAAGTGTGAGATGAGATCTACGCCCTGAGACAAGCTAGACACAGTGCTAGCATAAGCTGCGAAATAGGAGGCGTTCTCGGGCTGGTCAATCTATGAAGAAAAAGTGGATAAGCAAGAGTACACAACATTAGTAACTGTGGTTCTTAGACGGATGATAACCTCCAATTGTACAGTACGAGAGAGCAATTTGCTCAGAGGATTCTACTCTCTGACCTCCGATCGAATATGTCCCAAGAGACAGTGTGAGGCAAGTTCAGTCTGAGAACGCAGTCACAGGATTACGTGAGTTATTTGGGACTAGACAAATGTAACATTGACCAGTGTACGAGTTCATCCGCAGCAGGTCATGGTAAACTGTATGTGAATTTTGGCAAATTTGTACTTTATTGGTGAGGAGCTGCCAATGTGGTAGTGAATCAGGGAGCAACAACTGTCTTCTCCAACCGCTATAAATAACCCATGATTTTGACCGATCCACGTGAGTTTACGGTGCATTGCTTATGATGGGAAGGTCCTGATTAAAAACTGACCAGCCTAGTTTAAGTGGACTCTGAAAGATGCCAACCAGCAAGGTAAAAATGAATAAAAGTCACACAAACTGTCGCCTTTCTCATGTCTCTCCAAATAGAAAATGATATAGTCCATCAGGTCGTGATCCGTTGTTCAAACGCCAGAAATAGAACGTTAGCAACAACAGCAGCAAAGGCGGTTAGCTGAATCAATTTTACAGAGGAGTAGTAGGGGGAGTTGTATGGTAAAGGTAGAATTTCGTCACTTCAATTTTGTAAGCCGCCGACTCTACGCCCGGAATACGAAATAGATAAATGTGAACCGTTTGCCCCGAGCGCTAGGCGTTTCAGCCACGATTGGGCTGGAATAAGTCGCAAATTTCAGAGGGAAGCAATCACATTCACTTCCCACGTCCAATCTGGATCATCAAATTTTAATGACCTTTCTCAAGGTTGGTGCGCAAAGTTTCATTGATAGTCCTAAGTACTAAATAGATTTATGGATGGAGCTGTGCCGTGGATAGCGCATGTTGCAATGTACTAGGAGGGAACCCATCAGTAGTGTCGATTCTCTAATGAGGATGAGCTCAGTTTATGTGTGACTGATGGATTGAGTACCAGTGCTTATTAAGTAGATGAAGTAAACGTGCAAAGACCACACGACTGCAGTATTCGAAATGATCAGAGAAAACTCGTAGTCTACAGTAAATACTGACCTTTATTGTTCATGGATGCAGCTGCTTCTACATGGAACAGCAGGTTCAGAACTGCAACTCATATCGGGAGTCAGCATCATACACAGTCTCACCAAGAGCTGCGACTGGTATGCTGCTGCCAAGTGACGAGCGATGTGCTGTCAACTGGCGCCCGGGGGGCATTTTGACACAGGAGCAACTGGTGGTGTCCACCATGCTCCAGGCGCTGGCGGGGAGTGTATTCGCTTCATGCATGGTACCAAGATGCTACCACAAGTAAGGTGATAGATACCTCTACGTGCAGCGCGAGATCACACGGATACCACCGTAAACAGGTGGGATATGTGCCGATAAGTTGCGCAAGCATTAGGAATTATCGACTATATTATTCGAAGCAAGACTGCATAAGTCGCTACTCGGATCCTATAGAGAGTATGAAAATATTACCCTACCAAACATAACGTAACGCAGTGGCCGACTAACCCCAAAAATGTTCTCATCGTTCTGCAATAAAATACAGCGGTTGTTAAGCGACAGAATTAAAAGCTCACTGAAGTAAAGCAAACACCCAAAGAAACAAGCAACTAGTATTGCTTAGGCCCTTGATGACCTCATTGAGTAGACGAATTTGCAGAATGATATCCAGGTGTTGAATCGGACCACCAGTCAGATCACATAGCCTCGGTTCGGAAGCGTAAAGGGATAACTATTGCGGTTAAAATGATAACTGAGGCACCATCGTGCCCAGAGAAGCAAGTTGTTTGCCAAAGTCGAACGCAAAACATGCGTGCATGAGTCGAATTCAGGCGAATGGTCCAAGGGGTGAATTGAGACGAAATTTCCCTGATGAAGACGATGTTGAAACGTTGTAAACTAGACGAGAATCCCCGATTGAATCGTGACGCGAACCGGCAGAAGTGAAATGAAAGGGGCACGTAGTGAGCGTTCTTCCATCGGGGCGGGACGCTGAGTCGGCCAACAGCAAGATGCCAAAGAAATTTGTTACTGCAGAAATCGCTGCCTAACGACGAGCCAACACCTATCGAAACGCACGGTTTGGGATGTAAATTCTAAGGGCAGTGGGTAAAACACAGTGTACTGAAGCAACCGTGGTTTTAATTGATTGGTTATAAAGCAGTGGAAAAGTAGAAGTCACAAATAGGTGGGCGGCTTCGCAATTAGTTAGAGGAATAGTTCACGCATTCGCTCGCATATGCGCAATATGTGGCGTTTTAAAGCAAAGTGCCATACAGATCGATGTCCAGAAATAAACAAGTTATATAATAAAGGCTAAGCAGAAAAGGGAAACAGGCATTTCATCTATTAATTCAGATCCCAAGTGATGCAAACAGTGGAGCTCAGTTCAACCCCTATACCTACAAATGTGAAGTAAATATATACGACTTATAAATAGACAGTAGTATAGTTACATAAACGAATCAGGAATTCAGTAGAAAGTGACGTCGATGAACTAGCGATTCGCAAAATGAAAGAACACAAATCGGAACAAGCGGACCGCAACATAACCTGCGCATTGAGATGACGGCTACGTATGATAACGAAAAACTGTGTAAGAAAAAGCTGGAATCTCGGTTGGATAAAGCATATTACTGAGGCAAGTGCAAAAAAGGTAGTAGTACGCGGGCATCACTGGCGAACAAAATGACCGCGCAGTGGCAAATATGCCATCCACCCAAATCTGCACACAAATGGTTGGCAGGCCCTCTGGGTAACCAGGCTAGTTTTGGAAAACTTTCGAGAATAAACTTTGCTTTTATTTTCCAAGGTTCGCGTTCTTTGTTAGTTGCATTCAACCATAGCTTATATATGACAATATGACGAGAATCTCACGATGGTGATCATGTACGGCTGAAAAGACATCATCTCACCGCATGGTGCCAAACAAGTCTCGCAATGGTGTAAGCCCCATGGAACTTAGACCTCCAGAATGAAGGCGTATAGAGAAGTGGTTATGAACATCATACGGAGGTGACATAAAAGACAAAGGCGACAGCTCCGTCGCAGTCAATTAAGCTAACCAGGGTACAGTCGAAAAGGCCTAACGATGCTGTTTTTGGAGAGATCCAGCCAGACTAAGCAGAGGATGTAAATTACAGAGGAAAACAGGTGTATTCATTGCTAGTGGAAAGCATACTGTGATGAGCGGTAATGGTGATGGCTAAAATAACAAGTGTTACCAGCTTGTTCTCTATGCTCTAAAGATCTGCTAAGACTACTGGCTAGCTGATAGGATATGCAGCTGTTCGAAGGGCCAGTGCAGCATGCCAAATGCTACTGATATTGGTCATCGAGAGGGACCGAATAACCCTCTCGATAGGCGCTCAGTATCTGCGCTGATCAAGTTGCAACAACCGTATCCGTGATTTCATGGTCATGCCCGGTAAACCCATTGAATTTGGCGAAGTTGTTACGGAGCTTAGTGAGATGCAGCTTCACTGTTGACGTCATATCCTGTGCGATAAGATCCAAGATGGCTAGAAGATAGAATAGCTGGTTCGGATGTAACCCGTTCTAGCAAATAGTTCGGCCGCAGTGTTTCAGGACGTAGTGGGTTTTCGCCTGGCAAGCTCTCTCCCCATAAAAGTCACAAATGTCCGTTTATCAACCATGTGACGTGGTGAATGTGACTCGCCACAAACTAAAATCACTGCCCCGTGGATATCTAGATAATTACATCCAATCCACGAACATCAATCGTCTATCCTTACATAGCCGACGACGCTGTCAAATAGTCACAAATACAACGGCACACTTGCAAACACAAGTTAAAAAGCTACGCATATGCACAGTTACACACATCCATGCACACATTGACTGTTATGACAGGCATGCTGTATTCTGGTACATTTTTGTTCACACTTTGTTATCATAACATGATCATGCCTGTAAAGGCGTGCCTCGTGTTGTCGAGAATAAAAAGTCTATTTATTTATTTAGAAACGAAAATGAAAAGGCTAGAAGAGTGAGTAAGTGTATGCCTCTTGAACACGGGTTGGATAGAGACATCAATAGCAGACAATGTAAGCGAGGATATTCAAAGTGGATTGCTGGATATCGACCTTCGTACAGTTGCCATAATAGAAGTGGATAGAATCTAAAACTTTCATAAGAGAATAGTACCCCCATTAGTTGTACTGGCGCATCAACACCAGAAATTTGTGACAAAAGTAAGAAGACTCACGCGAAACCGCGATCTGTTCGATGGCGTCCAGTGGATTGACACGATTTGCAACGTGCACACCAAAGGAGAAGTGATTGATCCTGTGACTGAAGTTGAACCCTAAAACGGTGGAATGAAGGAAAAACAGAGTGTGAGCATCCACAATGGTAATTTGACAAACAAAATCATTAGTTAAGTAAGAAATTCGTTTAACCCCAACGAAATTGACTCGCAGTCAACACAGAAAAGTTGTCGATAGGACTAACATTTTGGTTCTACGGAGGGGGGGATTTGTCTCCAGGCTGTGGGATAGAGATAAACAGACTACAGAGTGATACTTTTGAGAATGTGAAACAATCAATCATATCAGGCAAAATTTGGGTTCTCTATATCATAGCATGTTCAGCCGCAGTACAACAAAAAAGTGAGAAACGAGGAAATTTCGCGAAGGCTACTCAACTAGATCGGCCGATCCAAATCAGAATTACATCCCATCAGCGCTGATCGTGTCGATTCACACAATAAAACGCCGGTATCCAAGTAATGGTGTGAGGAGGTCGCGGTTGAACTTTTTGTTCAGTTGGTGTCTGCAATCATCGCCTACATCGACCGAGTCAACTAATACATATCCGCTAACATCGCTTGTGGGTAACAACGATCCTAGACAAGTAGATAATCGAAACAAAGCGAGCTATCATGGAAGAATGGGGATTAGTTGTATGGTTGCGGATGATGCGACCTCGTAATATGGCAATCATTAGTGTACTTGGAGACAGACCATTGCTTTGCGCCCGCTCTCGGCGTTAGGAGTTATGTCACACGAAGATGAACAATTAACTTTTGATACTCAACTAGTGTCCTCCCATATGAGGAAAATTCAGCAATCACAACTATTGGAGACGAATAGCCCTAGTAACAAGGTATTCATTAGTAATGAAGAATACAACAAGTGATTGACACAGATGAGCTGTGGACGAACCCGTCCGGTCAGCGTGTGCTGTCAGGCATATAAATAAATAAATAAATAGTTATCCTCGAATTTGTCGAGACACACCAAACCAGGCATGATCAACATTTACATGCAATTATGTTTCGCAACAAACACGTTGCTATGTATGTAATCGGCAGTAAACCGAAAGTTGTACAGGCTGCGGAAATTGTAAAAGTAATCATGAGGAATAAAGTCGTCAATGAATGACGATACATTGGGTTCTAGCGTGCGTAGTGCAAACAGTCAGGGCACTATATGTGTAGTGAAAACGATACATGTAGGCAGGGAGTATCTTATTCTTGAACGTGTCAAGAAAATATTGAATTATGATTCTAGTCGACTTGCCAGTATGTAGTTGTGGGCAGTGACTTTATTCAGTGGCGAGTCACATCCGCCACGTCGCAGTGTTGTTAAACGGACATTTGTGGCTTTTTATAGGGAGAACGCTTGCCAGGCGAAAACCCACCACGTCCTGGAACACTGTCAGAAATCCGTTTGTACACTAATGTACAACTGGCAGAGCAGCTTGCCGACTGATTTCACCCTCGGTTATCCGCAGTCAAATGACTTCCAATTTCCTCTGTTAGTTGATCAGATATCTTGGTCAGGGCCGCCATAATCGCTGAGGCCAATCGAGGATGGGAGATTCACGAAGAGTCGTCTTTGTGAGTGTCCAGGTGAGCAAAACGTCAGTTTCTTGTGCCTGGATTTTTCAGGTTATGTATACTTTTCAGGAATGTGAAGGCATCGTGTCCAGCTATCATTACTGGACAACGGTCGTGGTAGTGAGTGCAGTTGTATCCATTTGTTGTACAGCCATGTTCTTTGTAGGTCCTTGTGGGTTATTATGTCCTGTCCCGGGCAAAAACTGTTTCTCGGTCCAATCCCAGATCCTCAAGAAGTTCCAGACCTCGGAGAAAAGGGAAGGGATGCTTGTTGCGATGCTCAGCAAAGTTAGCAGACAGGGGCGCGGAGCGATCGTAGGGCATCGGCCGTGACCAATGATGACAAGTATGCCCGGTTCGAATTTACACCGGAGGACCGGATGATGAGGGATCTGCAAATCTTCAGCTCGAAAGGCACACCCGATTGAAAAAAACCAACACAACATAGTGGATGTTGGTATCCAACTGCACTGGGTGAGGGCGAACAGCAAGGTGCAAGCGGAACTGTTTATTGTGCAAAGATGGCTACTACTAGGTGAGTCCGATCAGGCAAAACAGACATTCACCTATCTTCGTCATGCCGGTTGGAGATTGATGGCGCGGATATCTTTCTGGGTCTAGTAGTTGTATAGTGTGCACCGCTTATGTGTCCATTCCTCGTACGCATACACCTGCGGTTTCAAAATGTTTCTTTTCTTCAGGAGAGTCATTACGGCCTGCTGTTGGGTGCTTGCTGTTTCGCACCTTTGCATCAAATTACTGATAACTGGTGCAGTAGTATCTGCCTTAAGTCCAGCACAATGTTAGTGTTAGCTTAAACCGAACAGTCCGTAAAGCCAACCTAGAGTTTAGGATATGAATGCGCCCGGGTAAAACAAAATGCATCGCTCAAAAAACCGCCATGGGCATGTGTCGGAACGGCAAATTCTTACTGCCCGGCCCCACTGTGTTCTTGTGGTACAAAAACCCTGTTCCTATCATGTGTATCAGTAAAAAAGCGATGACATTGTGATTTTTGTATTTTCATATTAAGAGACATGCTTTCGCCTGTGAGTGCAAGTAGTAGCGGTGTAAGATTTACCCATTATTCGATCGTGTTCAGCACATCGATACGCCGTTGATATCCAGTATCCTATGTGTCCTAATCTCCAAACGAGCCCATTCAGTTACAGCACAGAGAAACACAGTACTTCGGACGCGATTCCAACAGCTGAAGTGTTTCCTACCTCTCTCGTATACTCATGCTGATGTAGTCCCAGTAGTAGAAATGACAGGGGATTGCTACAAATTAAATTGTTTCCCGAAGTACGTGTAATAAACCGGACATACACACAGGGTACTGCGAAACCGAACAGTGTAAATAAATCGTATTGATGCTTTTGACGGGTACGGGTAAACTCTAACGCCACACCCGACTACGATGGGCAAATCATAAATTCGTGACATTTTGTATCTGGAGTTATTTTCTGGTGAAATGCTGATTTTGACTGAATAGCCGGATGTCTTGTGACTCATGCGGAATTTTTCCGGCCCAACCGGAAGTCTTGGCGAGTAGCACGAGGTCAAACAATAAAGTGATTCCGCAAGCTCTAAACGAACTTCAGGTGCTGATGAATAGGCAGCTGCGTGTCGTGATATTTTGCACTTCAAAAAGAGATGAAAACCGTCCCAATTAAAAATAGCTTTGAGGTGTTTCCGGTGAACAAGCCCAATGTTCCATGATGGTAAAAATATAAACTGCACGTTTCAAAAGAGAGAATTTTTCCACGGAGGTCGACCCATGTGATGGACAGGTGAAAGAAGGGTGGCGTTGATGAAAGCCGAGGTAACGGAAGACCTACGAAGAAAAAGCGATTGTGACGTCCAAGTAGTATGCGGAAATCGGACTACCCGATTATCGAAGGAATCGGCAGAGGTCGCTTTAAGTCCGCTTTCAAAGCCTTGCAATGCGCCAGCGAACAAGACCAAGGTTACCAACACGTTTCTGTGGGATTAAAAGATAAAAGTACTTGAAGCTCCGCCCTAATCCCCCGATCTCGTGTCTTGTGACCTTCGGTTGTTTAACAAAAACAAAAAGCCCATGTGCGGGAGGAGTTTAGAAAACCGGAAAGAGCTCATTGAACCAGTCGAAGAATATGCTCACTGGAGCCGATTTTGAAGGGCGCTTTCATTCATACACGAAACGCATTAAAAAGTGCCTTTGAATCAACGGAAACAATGTTAAGAAGTCCTGGACAAAAAAGTCAACATAGTAAGAAAAACTTTTTCGGATTCAATTAATCTAAAAGCTTGCGAATTTATGAAGTTTCCATCGTACACGTGCGGTAACCGTCGTTACCTCGATGTTCGTTTGAATGCTGATATGGCATACTAATTAGGAAACTGTAAGAGCCTTCTTGTAGTACATCGAGCGGTGAATTGGCCGGCCAAGATCTTGATGAAGGGAGCAGCGGAATGCGCAGGCAAATGCAGACCGGTTTGGGACTGACGCAACGACAGTGGACCATAACGTGGTGCGACGGATTGCGTACCTCTGACCAATTCAGCTATACTGTGGTGCGCCCGGCCGCTTGAGAACTACTCCTACTAGGTTGGTCAATGGTGAGAGGTCAGACAAGCAGTCACCGGGTACTCCAAGTTGAGGGTTTGAAGTGGGATGGTGCCCGTTTCCATAAAAGTAAAGCATTGCCAACTCCTCAATGCTTTGCGGGCAAGCTTTTGAGTCAACCGCTTACACTGAGGACCCGAAATGTCCTCCTGTCTAGGTCTCGGAACCCTAGGAGCATCTCAGACCATGTACAATCGTGGATATTTCTTCAAACTTCAACCACATTCTGCATCGGCCGTCGCGTAGCTTATCAAAGGGTTGCCTTATCTGTTGCATACAGCAGGGCTGATCAGCGAAAACATGCTACTGCTGGCTCCTCCCTCCTATCCTTTCTACATGTCTCTCTTACACCCTACCAGAGCCCAATTACTAATCCTCCTTCCAAAGTTCCCAGCTTAATTAAAAGCAGCCGTAATGCCCCTGAAGTCGAACCATCTTCAGCCACCGTACCACAACATCCACCGGACTCTTATCGACAACAGTCCCTTATAAGGCCACGCTGTCCCGTTCCCATGGCGGCGTCCAACGTTCGCACTCTAAGACAAATAAGCCAACAGGCAGCACTCACATGCACTTTGGACATACTGGGTATTGTGTTGTGTGTCCGAAACTAGGATCAATGACCCTAATGGGGTTGTTGAATTAACTACACCAGGCTTATCATGTCGTTAGTGGTTGCAGGTATCCGGAGACAGTGATGCAGCACTCAAGCTGGTGTAGGTATCATTTCAGAAAACTTGGTAGACGACCGGTTAATGTATTTATGGTGATGGACAACATTTCGCTTTTGACACAAAAGCTTCATCAGGCGAAGTGAATTATCTTAACAGTATCATTTTATAGCGATCATGGCTAAACTATATACAGAGACGAATCAATTTGCAGTTCGTCAATGAATGAGTACAGCGGTCAAAGGTCAATATGCTCGTGGGTACACTGTAGTTTATTTCAGTCAGGGTCAAGTGAAGAAAAGTAATTGTCGGTCCCCGGATAGTTACATGAGTGGTTAGCAATCTTAACTGAACCATTGCAAGGAACTTGGACATTGATAGAACTTGGCTTTAGTACTTCGTAATTTGGTGGGGGATGGGTCGATAGTTCATTCCGATTTGGGATCCATCCACGGATGCTTATCAAGCTGGCCGGAGTAAGACTGGACGCCAGGCACTAGACAGCCCTACTCCGTCTATTCTATTCTATTCACGCACCAAGTTTTCTGAAGTGATGACTTCCCGATCGGTTCCAAATATGTTCCAAGATATTGGTGTAGGTATCATTCTAAGCTCCAAGGCTAAGCCAGCGTTGGTTGATTGGATTCCGGTTAACAGCCGTTTATGTGCAGCCCGTTTGACGACATCAGCTAAGGTTGATTCACGAAGTGAGACTTAGCCCTTTCGACCTGAGGCGTCACAAAGTCTTTGGTCATTGTTGTCGGCGAAGCAATGCTAGTGCCAGGTGACACCAGCGTGTCCGCAACGGTGATGTGCGCAGGCGATTGCTAGGCAGTGATGGCCAGGCTAGTTCCTTAGAACGGATAGCGCTGAATAAGTTGTGTTGGCTTAGGCAAGTACTACGTACGCCTAGTCATCACTTAGCGAGGAGGGTCTTGTTTTGTTTACAAAACGTAGGATGGAGCAAACCTCGAGGTGGAAAAACATTGACTTGGCATGGGAAAATGAAGTTACTGACGGCCAAACTGGGTGCCGTCGGTCCTTCTCGGCTTCCGGGCTGGAATCCACATGACTCGCCTTTTGCTTGGCTCGAGACACCACAGAACATGACTCGCAGTCGACACCAGTGGCGCTTCTGCTGTCGTCTCCTAATCGGATTGACTGTTTATAGTGTGTTTGCTGTCGAGATATCTGCGGAGTAATGATTGCTTATGACGCGTGGCAGTGAGAACCGCAAGGAAGTAGTCTCGCCGATGCCGTTTCATCTTTGCACGACAGCCAGCTGTTTGTGACGGTATGTTGTCTACACAGGGTGTAGGCGTCTTGACCGTGAATGTGTGCTTAAGGCATTAAGGTTTTCTGATAAGTCCCCCTTCTCACCCTATTATTATTCTTCGTTGCTAGATCACCATGTTGTATGGCAGTAAAACATCAGTTCATTTGGCTGATGTACTGCTGTTGGTGATGATGACGACCTTTTCGGGTAACGATATTTGTAACGGAAAGACGGACAATACGACCAACTGGAGAGAGATAGCAGATATCACTGACGAGTCTCAATAGGGCGAAGTGATAGTTTAGGGCCTAGACAATCTGGCTTCTGAGAGGAATCAACAAAATTTCATGAAAAATCCTCTTACTCATTAGTAACCAGACGTACCAACTCAAGCAAACTAAACGCCAGGCCGCGGAGAGCGATACTCGCAACTAGAGTGGTGGTGATGTCAACGAATTCACACTAATGCAATACGCAGAAATGTTTTTGTCTGCCGCTGGGGTCTGTAACATCAAATCCGTCCAGGAAATTGGGTTTGCGACCAACCCTCCGGTGTGATCCGGAGGCGAGGAGGATGATCGCTACAAGCGAATAAAATATGCATGAAATCGAACAACTCACCTGAAAGCGCGAGTAATGGTGCGATATGCATGTGTACACCTCCAGCGCCAGTGAACGCTCTACAACACAAAGGAGAAAAGCATGTGGGTGAAAAGAGGGCGGGGCTGGAGATCGAGAGTTGCTACCAAAGGGCAAAAGCAATGCGGAACATGAAAGTGAACCTACGTGTACATATTATGGTGTTGCTCATCCCAACACTGGCACCCCACGACCGCGGTTTCGTCCTGGTTTGGACTCATCCGGTGGAGGTAGCCTGAGCTGGACTGGAAATCAGAGCCCAGTGGCTCACGGTTGAAGTCATAAGCACTATGTCACTGAGATCCGCGAGCAACGCTCGGTGATAAGTCCAAACCAGGACGAAACCGCGGTCGTTGGGTGTCAGTGTTGGGATGAGCAACACCATCTTAACTACGATCCTTGTGATCGGAATGACCGAGGTCCACCTCAAGTGAACCGAGGTCTCAATAGAGGTTGATTGTAGCAACTCAACCACACAGGGGATTCTCCAAGTGCAACTTTGGACCTACGTGTGTTTCGAGTTATCCAGAGGACAGCTTTTGATCCAGAAGGCTCAACGCACAGACGAGCTCATAAATCGTGATGGTTACTACTTTTGATTCACAGCTCAAAAGACAAGGCTGAAGAGTTCGTTTGCACCGATTAGCGGTATTTGTGCACGCAATTAGTTGTGGATGTTCCCGTACACTTACAAAGCGCAGCGATGTGCGCCCAGCAGCAACTGAACCGATTCGTGTTATCTACGACATGCTCAATGGACCAAAAGCAAGCACTCGTCTTGGCCACATGAGAAGTGTTCAGTCAGAAAAATGCTCGGGATATGTCAAATGAGCTATGAGTGGGTGACGGAGGTTGGCGATGTTCCGAGTAGAATCACGCAAACCTATCAACCGAGTGGCGTGGACTGAACATGTCACTGCCACAGCTACACGCGATACACATAAAAGACATGAATCGAAAGTAGCGGAACAGTTAGGAACATACGGACGCGTTTTACGTCCATACGCTTCCTCCAGCCTCCTTACTTTGAGTGGGAGTGATCCGAGCAGTAGCTTTGTAGACACCAACCGATCTCCTCAAATTGACACCTACACACAGCAGTGGTGGTCCGAGATGCGGTCGAGTTAGATGAGTTGAGTTGGCTCACCTGATATATGAGAAGAATGCGGTACGTTGGCCCAGGTAAGACTATGAGTTGGTCCAGAATGAGCCAGAAGCTACTATACCTTTTCGCAGTCAATTGTACTCATAGCACTTTTGAATTCATCAATATGGGAATCAAGTTTCATGATAGATTGCGCAAAATGGTCCTTCCTGGTGTATCTCATGTTACCATAACAGTGTACCGAAGTAAAACGAAGGGGGCGAAATAAATAAAGCACGAGGAGGAGGAGAACAGAGCAAGGATACTAAAGTACTCATGTCGAAGGGTGACAGTAGCACAGAGTAGAGGAAGCAATGCGACTTGTGCAAAATCGTGGCTGCATTGACCACATCTTCATCTTGCGTCAGTTGTTGGAGCACCGTCACATATATTGGCGGCCCACCGTTGTCGTGTTCCTCGATATCAAAGGTGCATTCGATTCTGTGGATAGACATGCACTTCGGGACCGTCTACTCAGGAAAGGTGTGCCTGAGAAATATGTAAATATTATCCGAGCATTATATGCGCGTAGCTCGGGCAGAGTGAGGACTTACAGCAAATTGTCGTCGCCCTTTAATATCTCCAGCGGTGTGAGACAAGGATGCCCGCAGTCACCTTTCCTCTTCAACTTCGCTGTTGACGAAGTCATGGACATCGCGTTCACAGGACACGACTTAGAAGGTGTGGAGCTACTCCCAGGAGAACGACTTCTTGACTTAGAGTATGCTGATGATATTGCCCTAATCTCTGACAGCTCCCAGACGTGCCAAGCAGCACTGGACAGATTAGCACTAGCTGTCCGTCACTTCGGGCTTTGCTTCGCACCCTCGAAGTGCAAAGCGTTCCTCCAAGGTTGGGCTGGACCACCTCCTTCGCTGACCGTTGGTGGGGATCAGCAAGAAGTCGTTCAAAAATTCAACTACCTGGGAAGTTGTATCAGTGTCCGTGGGATTGAAGGTGAGATCACGAATCGTATAGCAAAAGCTCGGGGCGTTTTTGCTAACCTTCGCCACTTATGGGGCCGGCGCGACATCACTCTTGCCCTGAAGAGTAGAGTGTACAATGCAGCAGTACGTTCGACCCTACTGTACGGTTGTGAAACCTGGCCGCTTAAAGTAACGGACCTGAAGAGGCTAGTTACGTTCGACCACCGGTGCCTTCGCAATTTAGCTCACATCTGGTGGGAACACCGCGTGAGCAATGAGCGTGTTCGACGCCTTGTTTACGGCACAGGAAAAGGAACCGAACCGCTCAGCACCGTTATTTCACGCACCAAGCTCCGATGGCTCGGCCACGTGTTACGGATGCCAGCCCACCGACTCCCGCGACGTGCGCTGTTTGCGCGCCGGGGGTGTGGATGGAAGAAGAGGAGGGGTGGCCAAGCGATGACTTGGTCCAGAGGAATGAAGGCTCTCACTTCGGAGCTGGCCTCGGTTGGAGCGTCTCGGCTCCCTGGTTGGGGTCCGAAAGACGATGAACACGTTTGGTTGGACACATTTGTTGATATGGCTAGAAGCCGAGCTCAGTGGCGTTCGTGCTGTGAGTTTCGTTGTCCCACCCCATCCTTCTTAGCCGTCCCCTCCAACCATGATCTCATTATTTAGGCTTATATAATTCTGTATAGTAATTTTTTCTGATGCACAGTAGCCGGTTGGTAGCTTACCGGAACGATGCATATTCGCTACCGGTAGCTCAGCCGGCTTGCATTAGTTGCTTTTTTCTCCTTTTTCCTATGTATTGCGGCACAGTAGCTGTGGTGTTCCTCAGCTCTAGCTAACGTGTATGATGATGATGATTGGCTGTGGACGCGGTGGTTCATCAATAACACTACTTGTGAATTGAAGTGCAAAGGAATACATAAGTGGAATGGGCAACGGATGGACAAGCGAGCGAGACTTCCAAATCGATGAAAAGGAGGAACGAAAATTACCCCTCGACAAAGGAAGAAAAATCTGCGTGCTCTGGGAGCCACACAATAAGTGCCGGCAAAGTGAAGGGGAGAAATCGTAACAGGAAATGTTTCGTACTCACTTGCCGGGGACCAGATGGATATTCCCAGCCACTTTTCGCACAAAAACTTTGCCTGAGATATGACAAGCGTCGTATCGATCCCGTTTTCTGAATCCCGGTTTCTCCTCGTACCCGCCTCCGTTGAGTAATCCAAATAAACTTAATGGGCTGAATAAATGATCACGTTTCCACAACATTTCAGGCACAACCAAATGTTGACTTCGAAGGAGATCCATTATATCATGCCTCCGCTGAAATAGGATGAAGATGCAATGCATGTATAAACTAGTGTCCGAAGGCTTAAAAAAAGCGAAGACGTGCGTTTCACGCTAAAAGGTGAACTAATTGAACGAAGACGGCTTAGTACCGAGACAAAAAGTACTCGAAGACGCAGTCGAGCGTAGTACAATCGCGAGTTGAACGCTGAATTGCAACCGACCCAGATGCCTTTATTTGGGCTACCATAAAATCAAAAAAGTGAAATGATAGGTGTGAAATAGGGAGGGAGTTGGAGAGGGGGTGGAAAATGAAACGATGGATGTTGTTCACGACTTTCGTGACATTTATGGATCGTAAAGTTATCACAAACCATCAAACACACGCATTCAGATTTATACGTATAAAGGAGTGATCATCAAATAGAGTGGCATGAAAGTACACACACAGAGAGAGAGAGAGACCACTAGGACGTTTTCCAAATCCAGATAAAGTGCAGCCATGAAACATGTGGATACATTTGGACCACAGTGGTAACTCAAACACGGGTTTAGAAATGAAAGTCGCAAAAACCAGGAGCCAATATCATCAAACAGCGTGTTAGGATAGGAGAGAGGCATCATCAGCAGTATGCGGTACGTAGTACTGACGCTTCGCTGCCGTGCAACCACAACCAGTCGCACCTGTACTAAGGATACTGCGAAGATTGCCCGGTCCCCAACGCAGGCGCGAACCCGCGCCCTTGGATTATAAGACAGGCTTATGGTCCTTTAGGCCATGGGCCGGCATGTTAAGAAGCCGATTTGTATCGATGACTGAAATAGCTTGATCGACAGACGTGTCAGCTTTAGCCCAACTAATTAACTCACTGGTATTCGAGGATCCAGGCTGTGTTAGGCGATTGCACACAAAGGATGAAAACGGGTGGCAAAATACATTTGGCTCAGCTCACTTAAACGACTACGGCCCATGCACTAGAATGTGGTGGATCCATGACTCACGTGGCCAGGATAACAAGAGATAATGATGGCGGGAAAATGAGACAGAACGCAAACATAATGTTATATCGCATCCTAATTGTCTCCACTCTTAGTCGGAAGGGACGAAGATTATTCAGATAATAACCCACACGTGCAGAGTAGCCAATGGAATTCGTAACGTTGCGAACTAGCGAGATCTAGTCGCCGGACGTACACTCAACCTGAAGCTAGAGGCGGTAACAAGTAATCTAGGAGGACTGCACTGAGACCCGAAAGAGAAAGAGTGGCCGTCAGCAAGAGTTCTTTTACTGACTCAGCCAAGGCAAAACATGTCTTCTACACCATTTTTATAGTCCAATAGAATAGCAGTGTAATGCACAAACTATAGAGAAAGGTGGATGCTGGCAAAGCACATGAGTTGTGACACCGTGGTAGTCCGGTTGCTCATTCCTCCGCCGAGCTGGGAAATTTGTTTGCAAACGTTTCACTGCCATGTGAGGCGGCATCATCAGTGCGTTGAGATCTGGAGTGTAATCTCGCTGATTGAACTGTCGATTCGTGATTGGCGTGCAGGTGAATTTTCGAAAGTGACGGCTTCCATCTGCGTCCCGTGATCTTTACCCATTTCCCCGTGGGGAAAGTCGTCGCTCGGATTGTTCATATGCAAGCGGCGTCTAGTAATTTCTCTAAGTTTTTCTCCGTCGGAGGGGCTGGTAAACTGGGTCAATCTCGATATGCAAGTTGAGTGAGTATTTTGTTGAGAACTACGTTTCCAGGAACTGCTGGAAATTACGAGACGTCGCTTGAATAGGAACAACCCGAGCGACGACTTTCGTCACGGGGAAATGGGTAGAGATCACGGGACATAGATCGAAGCCGTCACCTTCGAAAAGTCAACTGCACGCCGAGCACGGATCGACGATTCAATCAGCGAGATTACACACCACATATCAACGCACTGATGATGCCGCTTTGCATGGCGATGAAACGTTTGCAAACAAATTTCTCAGCTGGGCGAACGAATGAGCAACTGAATTAGCAACTCGAGTTACCAGTTTTCCGAAACCCAGTTGGTGTCAGTGTGGCTCTGTGCGGTAACTGAGAAGCGAAGGTGGTTCGCTGCGGCTTGGCACGATACATGCATCAATGTCCTGAGTAGAGCTCAGTTGGTTCACTGAGGTTTGGCATCAATGTTCCGGAGACGGCTCGGTTGTTAATGGCGCAGTCTGAGTCGCCGCACGGTGATTTCAAGTCTGAGGTGAGCCCGACAAAATCTGTGCAAGTTTTGGGGAACTATGCGAGCACTGTAATATGAAGAAAGAACTGGGATGAATAAATACTGTTTGAATGTCACCTTCAGGTGTAAGAAACTGAGTGCAGTAGCGCCAACGACTATACGACTGCCAGATAGACCGAGTGTCCAAGCACTGGTTTGACCCGTCTCGATACTTCCTGACAGTCAATTTCGTCATACCTTTGTTTGGCCAATCTAGGTACAGCGATATCACGCTGAGGGTGGTCAAAGCGTATACAGAAAACGAGACCAAACCAACGTAAGCAGTTCAAGTGAAGTAGACAATCCAGCGAAGTACAATACGGATTTTTGGATAACATAGCTCAAGCATTACTCACCTGGTGCTCCTCACCAGATTCGATCAAGCACCGGTGAGCAAAGGTGATCAATTGCTCGTAAGGATGCAGTCTTTGGCCAACAAGGCAGGATGGTTGTGTATTAACGTCAGTACGGCATGGCCTGTATGGATATTCAGACTATCATGGTGGCAGTGAGCATGAACTAGTGCAAGTGAGACATCTCTGCGTGATATGCCAGATTTGGTTGCGCTAAGTGCGAATCTCGACAAGGCGTCTATTCATCCGATGCTGTCGCCTCAACGACTGCTCAATGGTTGCTGGACAGGGAAGACCACACACTCATCACAACACGTAAGGTGATACGATAGGAAAAAAACCATCACGCTATATTCGTCTGGTAGACTCGTCCAATTGCAAGGTGGCAACATGTGTGGATCTTCACTAAATCAATGATAGCTTTCATCCCTATGACTACCGGTTCCATTTTTTAAGTTTACACTAGTGACATGTGAACAGGTAGAAGTGGGTCATCGATAAGCAGTTGTTACTGGGGCAGAGAGAGATTGCTAGCACCAATTGCGGGAAACTGCGGGTGGACAGAAGTGGGAACACTTCGCGTGGTTTATCGCAGTCACACTTGATCCCAAAAATCTGGTGAAGCACCAGACGGTCAGCTCTCCCTTCTGAGTCTCATCAATGGTGCGCGTACCACGGACTCCTACGTCCCAACGAGACTGAACGATAACGTGATGCGAGGGTTTGCGTACCTCCTTGACCCATTGAGCTATACTGGGTGGTGCGTCCGGACCTCTTGAGAGCTACTCCTACCAGGTTGGTCAATGGTGAGAGGTTAGACAAACAGTCACCGGGTACTCCAGGTTAGGGGTTTGAAATGGGATGGCATCCATTTATGTAAAAGTAAATCATAGCCAGTTCCCCGCTGCCTCGCGGACAGCCATCTGAACGAAAGGCTTTGGTTGAAGACTTTAATCGTCCTCCTGTCTAGGTCTGGGCGCCCTGGCAGTATCTCAGCCCACATTCAACCATGACGTTTTCTCCAAACATAAACTTAAACCTGCATCGGCCGTAGCGCGGATTCCCGAGGGTCGCCTTACCTGCTGCATACAGCAGGGCGGATTAGCGAAAACATGCTATTGCTGGCACCTTCCTCCTTTCCTGTCCACATGTTTCGCTTACTCCCATCCCGACCCCCATTACTAACCTACCTTCTATAATTCCCAGCTTAATTGACAGCAACCTAAGTGCTACTGGAGTAGAACCATCTGCAGCCACCATCCCACAGCACTTATCGGACGCCTATCGGCAAAAGTCCCTCATACAGCCACGCTGTCCCGTTTCCATGGTGGCGTTCAGCATTCGCACTCTAAGACAAACAGGTCAACAAGCTGCACTCACACGCACCTTGGACATACCGGGTATTGTGTTGTGTGTCCGAAACTAAGATCAATGACCCTAATGAGGTTGTTCAATTGACTGCATCCGGATTATCCTCTCGTTACCGACTGCACGTATCCTAAGACACTGATGCAGCACTCAAGGGTCAAGCTGGTGTAGGTATCATGCTAAGCTCCAAGGCTAAGCCAGCGTTGGCTGATTGGATTCCGATTAGCAGCCGTTTACGTACAGCCCGTTTGACGACATCACCTAACGTTGATTCACGAAGTAGTACAAGACGCTGTTTGTTTGTGACTTCCGCTTATGCTCCCACCGACTGCAGTTCAAAGGCTGTCATTGACACATTCTATCACGAACTGAACGCGCTGCGACGCAGTGCTACTAGTTCAGAAATCATAGTAATTGCAGGGGATATGAACGCACAAGTAGGGCGTCTGAGCTTTTCAGAAGCTCAGCTGGATGGTAATTATGGGCTTAACTCCGGACTGACAACGGCGAGCGTCTGCTGCAACTGTGCGCGGAGCACCAGTTTTTTCTTAGTAGCACTGCTTGTAAACACAGCGGGCGCCGAAATGTGACTTGGCGTCCTCCTGCAGCTGACCAGCGATGGACCCAAATTGACCACATTGCTATAAGTTACAGGTGGCGTGGTTCCATCCGGGATTGCCGCTCGTACTAGAATACATGGGTCGACTCTGGTCATGCCTTGGTACGCTGTCGTTTCTCCATGAACTTTACCAGGAGGCACACCAAGCGTTTCCTCCGATTGGAAACTGAGAAATTGTCTCAACCGGCGGTCAGACAAGCCGATCAAGACGCACTGCGTATCGAACTTTCGCTCTTTATTACTAATGACACTGAGATTCAGTGGAATAGGATCTCGGCCGCCATGCACGACGCAGGAGCATCTGCTTGGGGTAGTATCCATCGTCACCTCTCCAGTCACTGGATATCGGAGAGGTCAGTGAACCTGTTGGAATCCAGAAGAAACCTCCCGGCTGGCTCTGAACACAATGTGACCAGACAGACTTTAGGCGTGAACTGAA